AGGTTCAATTCATGCTGCCATTCAACATTTCTTTACAGTTTACTATGAATCATTAAAAGAAACCGAAATGAAAATTAAATTATTTAGAAATATAATCACCATTTTAAAGAATAACCATTTCCATAGAGATTTAGTAATCAATTTAATTAAATTTATCGAAGTCATAACCAATAAACATAAAGAACAAGTTCCAGTGGTCAACAACGAGTTTTTCCCAATTTTCAACACATTATTCGAGCTTTCAATTAAAAGATTACACAGCAACGGCCGTAATAGATTATATAAATCAGTAATTAAATCATTACAATACATCACCGATGAGCAATTAAGTTTTGATAATATGTCAAAAATTATATTTTCAATTCCATTCCACTTTCACTCAAATCCTCAATATAATCAACTCATCAGTAATTGGTTAAATGGTAATAGTGGTCAAGGTGCTAATAAAACATTCAATTCTATAATGGAGATTTTAAAAAATCACCATCAACAACAATCCATTCCTAATACCTCCAACATTGATAAAGATTTCATAGTAAAACTTAAATCAGATTCATTTATTTCAGCTAGAATCATTTCATATTTAAAAGATGAACAATTTAGTGGAGTTATCAAACAAATTTTAGATTCAACTAAACAATTAATTGAAAATAATAACACAAACTCTGTTGGCTTCTTTTATTTCATCACCTTATTGGGATCAATTCTTTCCATTATTAATTTACCAAATCAAATTCAAATTTTAAATCAATTAATTAATGAAATCTTTTCAAATACATTTATGAACTATCTTGGTGAAAGTTTCAAATCTATTCCATCAATTGACTACGCAGTTTTATTAGAAGTTGAAGAATCTTATTATTTAATCGAATCATTCATTTTAGGTAATCATTCAAATCTCAAAAATAAAATAAATGAATATTTTACAACTTTATTAAATTCCCAACAAATTAATAATAATAACTTAGTACCAACAACCATCGAAAATGAATTCAACAAAATCAAAACTATCCAAAGATTTTACGGTTTATTCAAAGATAGAGCTTGTTCAGCAAATTTATTTACCATTGAGCAGTTTGAAAATGTATTAGATAGGGCTATTAATATAGAACTAAAGAAACCAAAGCAATCAGAAGGTGAGGAAGAGTCGGTTATTATTAAAAATTGGGGTACAATCAATTCGTATTTTATTAAAATAAAATGGTATTTAATCAGGAATCTTTTAACATGCTTATTGCATTTGGTAAAATCACACTCAACTGAATCAAAAGTACTAAATGAAAATTCAAAGAAATATTTAGAAATTGCTATCGAGTCATTAGGTGGTTCAAATTTTTATTGCTCACAACCAATTATTCATAGTTTAACCATTTTATTACCACTAGGAGCTATAGATAAGAAAACAAATACTTTTGACCAAGAGTTATTCGAAAGGGCATTGTCTTACACTTGGACATCGTCAGTAGATTGTGGCATTTTAAATTATATTGGCTCGTTTGTACAATTAGCTTTTCAACATAATACACTTTCAGTCCATGTCACCCAAGAGCAGGAGAACGATTTGGGTTTATTCAATCATCATACTGTATTAAAAGAGTACTTTTATAAACTTTTAGAATACTGTAATGTAGTACCAGGTATCTATAACCTTTTGGTGATGAAGTCCACTATGATTTGGCGTGAATATCCAGAAATTGCAATTCAATACATTGACGAAATTTATGAAGCACTTATCTATGGTCCAATTAGAGTAGCATCAAACGATTTACATCAAGATGAAAACGAAATTTCCTTCTATGAGCCATTAGTTGGTATTCCAAGCTATGTATTCAATTTACATCAAGATTCAATTGTTGAAAGTCAACAAGATGAAGAGAAATTTGGTTTTGGTTATGTTCCATATAGAGATAGTTTTGGTAGAGCAGCAACAACCATATTTATAAATACAATGGGTGAATTATCACAACAGAAACCATCATCAACAACAGATGAACATAAAATCAATTTATACAAGAAGTTTATAAATTTAATAACTATCAAATTTTTAGATTCTAATTTTTATGAAGAATTTTTAAAAAAGAAGGAATATATTTTAAATACATTCACTCATAGATTAAAGATTAGAATTTGGCAAACTCTTTGTGTATTAAGTAAATTTATAAATACCGAAGATAAAGAGATGTCAAATCAAATTGGTGATAGCATCGTCAAGGTATTTTTTATTTTCCATTTACCATCAGTAAGAAAGTATATCAATATATTTTTGGTCAATTTAATTAAAAGCAATCATGAAATAGTAGAAAGCCATTTATTGAAATTATTTGATAATGTTAATCTTCGTGGTGATATTCTTTCATCTATTACCGTTACCGCAGCCTATGTTTTAATCAATATAGAAAACAATGACGCCTTATATCAAAAAGTATTCAATAGAGTTTTGTCCCTTTGTGTATCAGGTCATATTATTGTTAAAACTATAGCATCCAGTGTTATTTCTCAATTGATTGAAAATGATATGGAAGGTCTCAAAAAGAAATTAGAGCCCGGTGTATTGGAATACTTGGACCAATTAAACTATTTCTTTAAAACAAATTCACAAGCATATAAACTATTACAAAAACAAAAGAAACAAATGGATATTGCAAAAGAAAATCAATTTACAGATTGTGCATTTTTAAATTTATTTTATGAAACACCAGTTATCGAAAAATTAGCAGTAACAGAAATTATTCCACCAGGTATTTTCGATTTCTTATCAAGCAAAGAGTATTTAAACCAATCAATATTAGAAAAGCAACTTCGTGATCAACTATTCGAAAAATCAAAACTTTATCCAAAAGTTGATGATTTCGAAAGTGAGGACGACGATGAAGATGTTGGTGAAGAAACTAAAGATAAAAAACTTGAAGATGTTGATGAATATATAGATACCAATCCAACAAGTTACCAAAAGAAAATTTTACCATGGGCAGATTTGGAATATGAATCGCGTAGTGAAATAATGACTAAATCAAGACAATCAGTAATATTGGTTGCAAGTTTTGTTGATAAAATTCCAAATTTAGCAGGTCTAGTTAGAACCAGTGAAATTTTTAATATCGAATGTTTAGTGGTTTCAGATATGAAGATTTTAAATGATACTGCTTTCCAACAAATTACTGTTACAGCCGAAAAATGGTTGCCAATGGAAGAGGTTCCCGAAGAATCACTCAAACAATATTTACTCGGAAAAAAATCACAAGGTTATTCTCTTTTGGGTATTGAACAAACATCATCTAGTGTGCAATTAAATAAATTTGATTTCCCTGAAAAGTCAGTTTTGGTATTAGGTAAAGAAAAAGAAGGTATTCCAACAGAATTTATTAATCTATTAGACAAATGTATAGAAATTCCACAGTTGGGTGTTATTAGAAGTTTAAATGTTCATGTTTCTGGTTCTATTTTAATGTGGGAATATACCAAACAAAAACTAAATCAATAAAATAAAATTTTTTTTTTTCAAATTTCATTCAAAAATAATAAAGTTTTTAGATATTTATAATCTATGTAATCAAATAAAAGAGAAAATGATATTTAATGATACATTAAGTAATCAGTATTTTTATTTATTGAGCTTTTTGTGTTTTATATTTGTATTCAATACTATTTTCTTTCTAATATTTTATTGTATCATTTCTATGATCTAAACTTTCTTATACGCATAGTCAGGTTTTTTGAAATTACTTTTAGTGCATGGGACTAAAGCAACGGAGGTTTCATTAGCACATTGATTGATGTTGTTATCTTGACCACGATTGTAAAAAACTTTATTCTTCATTCGGAATGCAATCATGCCATTCTTCATTTCTTTTATTATTTCTTTTTTAAAGTTACTTTTGTTACTATTTAATAGGAGTTGTAAGTATTTTTGGATTTCTTTATACTTTGGAATATATGTATTTGTTTCTTTTTTTTCTTCAATAAGCATTTGAATAAAAGGTTCATCATAGTTGCTCTATACTATCTCTTTGACAAAGTGATAATCTAGAGTATTTATTGTATCATTTGAAAGATTGTTTTTTTCTCTATATTTTTTTGCTGCTAAACAATTACCATCTATTAAAAATAAGATATTAATATATAATTTTTTAATCAATATATTAAATAATAATATATTTTAAAAAAAAAAAAAAATGGGGGAAACAACCACACATTACTATATATATTGATTATGATTTAACTGTTTTTTTATTGATTTTTAAACACCTTTTAAATTAAAAACTTTTTTTTTTGTTTTTAAAACTTAGAAATATAAAAAAAAAAACTAAAACTTAGAAATTGACTTTAAAAATGGAACTAATTGACCCCGAACTTTGTATACTTGAATCTGCACAGATTTATAAAAAATAAAAAAGAAAGATTCATCTACCTCTAGCAATCAGATTATAAGAAATAACCCGAAGATCTTTTCATCTGCTGCCTATCAATAGGTTTCATCAGCGCTGGAATCTTCTCTATTTTTCTTATTATTTGCATCTGTAACTGTGCCTTTTTGCTGTTACCTGTATCTTCTACCTGTATTTGTATCTCAGGAAATATAGGTAGCAGCAGATACAGGTAATACAGATAATTCAGGCACAGGTAATACAAGTAATTCAGGACAGGAGTATTATTTGCATTACCTGTGCCTGAATTACTTGTATTACCTGTACCTGTATTATCTGTATTGCCTGTATCTGCTGCTACCTATATTACCTGTATATCCTCTATCTGTATTTTCTGTATTGCCTGTGCCTGTATTACCTGTATTGCCTGTACCTGTATTTGTTTCTGTTAACTGTACCTGTTTCTGTTCCTGTATTTGCTACTGTTACCTGTAATGTTTCTATTACCTGTATCTGCTGCTGTTATATTACCTGTATATCCTCAATCTGTATTATCTGTATTACCTGTATTGCCTGTACTTGTATTTGTTTCTGTTAACTGTATCTGTTTCTATTATCTGTATCTGTTATATTACCTGTATATCCTCTATCTGTATTATCTGTATTACCTGTATTGCCTGTACTTGTATTTGTTTCTTTTACCTGTATCTGTTTCTATTATCTGTATCTGTTTCTGTAAACTGTACCTTGTATATATGCCGCTGTTACCTGTACCTGTATTACCTGTATCTTCTGCTACCTGTATTACCTCTATTATATGTATAAAATGTACCTGTACTACCTGTATAGCTTGAATTGCCTGTACCTGTATTACTTGAATTACTTGTATTGCCTGTACCTGTATTATCTGTATTGCCTGTATCTGCTGCTGTTATATTACCTGTATATCCTCTATCTGTATTATCTGCATTACCTGTATTGCCTGTACCTGTATCTGTTTCTGTTAGTTGTACCTGTTTCGATTACTTGTATCTGCCTGCTACATATATTACCTGCCTGTATTACCTGTCCCTGTATATGACATGTTTTACCTGTAACCTATATTACCTGTCCCTGTATTACCTGTATATGTATTACCTGTCCCTGTATTACCTGTATATGTATTCCTGTCCCTGTATTACCTGTATATGTATTACCTGTATATGTATTACCTGTCCCTGTTGCTGTTAGATTCAGCTCAGCTACCTCTAGCAATCAGATTTAAGAAATAATCCGAAGATCTTTTCATCTGTTGCCTATTAATAGGTCTAATCAGCGCTTGAATCTTCCCTTTTTTATATGTACTTTTTTCTTGATATTTGTTACTTGCAAATGTACCTGTATTACTTGTACCTGTATGAATATATCTGTATTACCTTTACCTGTATTACATGTCCTAAATTCCCTGTCCCCTTTTTACTTGATTACCTGTTTCTGTTACCTGTCCCTGTATTACTTGTATTACCTGTATCTGCATTACCTGTCCTTGTATTACCTGTATCTGCATTACCTGTCCCTATATTACCTGTCCCTGTATTACCTGTATATGTATTCCTGACCCTGTATTACCTGACCCTGTATTACCTGTATATGTATTCCTGACCCTGTATTACCTGTCCCTGTATTACCTGTCCCTGTATTACCTGTCCCTGTATTACATGTCCCTGTATTACCTGTATATGTATTCCTGACCATGTATTACCTGTCCCTGTATTACCTGTATATGTATTACCTGTCCCTGTATTACCTGTCCCTGTATTACCTGTTTCTGTTACCTGTCCCTGTATTACTTGTATTACCTGTATCTGCATTACCTGTCCTTGTATTGCATGTCCCTATAAATATTAAATGTATATATATTACCTATATTACTTCAACAACCAGCAGCTCTTCAGATAGCAGATGATGAGATGGCAGCTCTTCAGATAGCAGCTGATGAGAGATCAGCTCTTCAGATAGGAGTTCTTCACATAGCAGATGATGAGATAGCATCTCTTCAGATAGCAGCTGGTAAAATAGCAGCTCTCCAGATCGCAACTGATGAGATAGAAGCTCTACAAAAGCCAGTAGCTGATGAAATAGTAACTCTTCAACATCTAGAAGCTCTTCAGAATAGCAGCTTTTCAACAGACAGCAGTTCTTCACATAGCAGTTCTTCACATAGCATCTCTTCAGCAGTTGTTGTATGGATTGCGGTTTATTCGAGAATAAAATCTAATAAAGGATAAAAAAGTATTATTGTAATTTAAAAATAAAAATATACATACTTTCTGTTAAAGAATATATCATCATCATTGGATAATTGAACCTGATTAACATATTCAATCATTTATTTACTTACTTACTTACAAATATTATTTTACTTTTTTTATTTATTATATTTTATAGATTTTATTATCACAATGAATTTCTACATTTTCCAGAATAGTAATTGGTATTCCTCTATTTACAAATTTTATTTTTAAGAAATTTAAAAAAAAAAAATTTCATTGTGTGGTGTGTGTTTAAAAAAATTAATTTTTTTTTTTAAATTTCAAATTATTTGAAAAAAATTAATTTTTATATAAATGGTTATTTTCAAATTTCGAATTTCCCCCACAATGCATATCATTTTTTATATTTTTTTTTAAAAAATTTAATTTTTTTTTTTATTCAAAATTTAAAAAAAAAATCACTATGAAAAAAAAGAATTCAGTTAATTAATTTAATTATTTAAAAAATAAATATTGAGCTGCTTTCATGAAGAGTACAAAAAACTTATCTTTTTTTAATATAAAAAATTAATTTGAAATTGACACAACAAATAAATAAAAAAATAAATATAACTAAACTTTGTTTTAATAATTAAAACTAACATTTAATTTAATTTTTGAGGGAATGATTTATCGAAAAATTTGACCACAGCGGGTGATACAGTATTATATATTTTTAATTTTTTGTCGCCAAATTATTTTTTTTATATTTAATTTTTGATTACTATTTCATTTTATTATTAATATCAACTAAATTAAAATACATTCACAATTACCCCAATCACATTAACCCACAATAAATTTTATATAAATTTAAAAACAGGAATTTAAATTATATAGAAAAAAAAAAAAAAAAAAAATTATAATAATTAATAACATTTACATATTTACTTTTAAAAATTTATAATAATTAAAAATATATTTCAAATTAATAATATTCACACACATATACCTCCATGTTTTATTTAAATATAATAATGTATGTTTTTTATTTTATTATTTTATTTTATTTTATATTATCATTGTTTCATTTTTAAATATACAAATTGAAAATAATACCTCTCAATTTAATAATATCCACACACATATATTTTCATATTTTGTTTTAAAATAATAATAGTAATCATGTGTGCACCTATTATTGCATTTTTTTATTTTTTTTATTTTTATTTTTTTTATTTTTATTTTTATTTTTTTTTTAATTTTGATTACTGCACTTTAAATATACAAATTAAAAATATAAATTATCAATAATAACAATAAAAAAATAAAAGATTCATTGTATTTACAAATTAAATTACATCATTTTCTATTAATAAAAGAAATAAATATAAATTATAAATAATGACAATGATAAAAAAAATATAAAAATTTTAAAAATAAAAATGTGGTAAAAAATATTGAAATTTTTAGTATTCGAAGATTATTACATTTAGTGTTTTTAAGTTATTTATTACAATGTTAGTTGAGATTTTGATTCCCTTAATAAATACCACCATAGGTCGATGGTAGTGATGATGATCAAGAGGTTCATTGAAAATATTATAAATTGATACAATTAGAAACATAGTTTGGAATTAAGGATAGTTTTGTTTTTTGTATTAATTGCTAACCACTAATTTTTGACTTACCCCTTCAATTAGAATGGAGCAAAGGGTAACACGACTTTTATTTTTTTCTTAGTAAATTAATTTTCATTCTTTGATTGGAAATTTAATTTTTGTTGATTATACCTTCCTTGAACATTCTATTTCTTTATAAAATTCCATTTTGTAATTGTGGACATTTCCTTTTAAACAGAAAATAAAGCTTTCACCAGTACTTTCAATTGTCAGCCTTTGAATAGCCTGGGTTGCCCCTTTCTAAGTGGACTTTAATATTCGGGTTTAAACATTTTTTTTCTTATGTCTTTTAAAAGGTATCGAACTCAGGCCCTAAAGAATAACTTCTAACTCATCCCGGGGACAGGCGAAAATCCTCACCACAAGACCAACAAAATTGGCAATGTTTGATAAGTGAAAAACGGTTTTCTTTACCAAAAATTGATTTTTGCAGCTCTTCCCCGTTGGTCTAGTGGTGAGGATTTTCGCCTGTCACGCGAAAGGCCCGGGTTCAATTCCCGGACGGGGAGTTTTTTTTATTATTTTATCTTTTCGGAGACGCTAATGTTGATGGATTTCTATAAGTTGTTGTTGTTGCATCTGGTTAAAATGCATATGAATATAAATAACTTCAATTTTTTCTAGCGGGTTTTGAGTCTTCAACACTCTCACCTTTGGGTTTATCTCTTGACTCTTGTAAGTCACACATAGTTTTTAAAAGAACATTTACTTTTTTTAACTCTTCCGTAGTATTTTTCCCAATTGCTAATTCATTGTTAATTTCTTTAATAACTCTACTGTTAATTTCATTCTCTTTCATCAATTTTTGAACGATCTCCATTAAATCTGTAACTAGATTATCTTCGTGCCTTGATAATCTTTCATTACCCATATCCAACATCTTAGTTGGATATCCAACTAGGTTTTTTCGTAACTTTGTTAAATTTTAATTATGGTGAATAATTTGACCCCTACGTGATTTTATTATGTCCTGCCGGCAAGGATATAACAAAAACTGATTATAAAAAAAAATTGTAAGGTACTAAGATCAAATAATTAAATAAAATAAAATTTATATGAAATGTTTATGTTTTTGTAAAATTCGAAAGTTTATTTTTATTTTTTTATTTTTTTTTAAAAATTTATTTTTTTTAAAAATTCTTTTTTGATGAATTAAAATAATTGTTAATTATTATTAATTAATATTGATTATTATTGAGTAATGATCCTTGCTCATTACATTAATAAACAATAAAAATAAAGATAATAAATTATATGATTTTTAAGTTTATGTGAAAATTGAATAAAACGAAAATTTTCGAAAATTTTTTATTTTATTTTTTTAAATTAAATTATTTTTAATTATTAAAATTATTAATTATTATAATTGTTTGATTAAATGACTATTTAAGTTATAATTATTTAATTAAGTGAATTTTGATGATAATATATTACAGTTAAGTAATCAAATCAAAGCTACTCCAATCACCATACTATCGTATTAAGATTAAGTCTGCAACAAAATCAATCAATGTTGTTATCAATTTCTTTATCAGTGGAGACCCCTGACATATCTTCATTACCATAATCAATCAATTAATCAAATAAAAACAACAAAAAAAATACTGCCAATATCAATTCATTACCAAATATCAATAGTTTCGAATATTTCCTATAAAAATTTTTATTAAAAACATTATATAAAATTTACTGATTAATTTAAAGCATTTGCTTACAAGGAATTCCTCGTTGATGATCAATAATTACGTACATAAGTGTTCATTCCATTCACAGGGTCATTATGTGCTTCTTTTAGAACTTGAATTATAATTTCTTGACATTTTGTGATGGATTGTTTAAGAATATTTGTTCTGATGGATATTTGTCTGAATTACATCACCTTTAAAAAAAAAAAAACTTTATAAAAAAACTTCTGAACATTTTAATTAAAAAAAAAAGATGAAATTTTACAAGTTTTAAAAATAATTATGTTGAAAATTAAATTTTTATTTATAGATTTTTTTTATTATTTAATTTGTTATTATTAAATTTAATTTGTTTATGTGTTAATTTCCATAAAACAGGATGATTTATTATCAATGAAACATTTTACTGATGTATCAAAGTACATAATGTAGTTTGGATTACGTTTCATCGAACAACCAATGGCTTCAAGTGATGTATATGGGTCAATTGATTTTGAACATTCTATTTCTTTATAAAATTCCATTTTGTAATTGTGGTCATTACCTTTTAAACAGAAAATAAAGCTTTCACCAGTGTTTTCAATATTTAGTTTGTTATTTTCTTGATGGCATTTTAATGTTTGATTTGTTAAATCAAATGATTCAATTGGACCCTCTAATATTTCAAGAGAACATCCAATCATCTCTGAATCATCTAAATAACATTGGATAGATTCACCAAAGGTTATAATGTCTGAGTTAAAACTATTAGAGCATTCAATGGTTGATGATGAGGTGTTTAAACAACTAAAGCTTTCGTAAAATGTGTTTCTTAAACCATTATTATCAACACAAGTAATTTCTTGGCTATTTGGGTTATCAAATATTAAAGTTGATTGGAATGGATTATAAGTGCATTGAGTATTTTGTTTTGAGGATGATGAATCATTGTTTGATGAGCTGCTTGATGAACTAGTTGATGAGGAGCTAGTTGATGAGGAGCTAGTTGAGGAGCTAGTTGATGAACTACTATCCGATGAGGAGCTAGTTGATGATGAGCTGCTTGAAGAGATGCTCATGAAACATGATGTCTTATCGTCAATGTAGCATCTTACCGATCTATCAAAGAACATAACATATTCTGGGTTTTGCTCCATTGAACAACCAATTGATTCGAGTGATGTTTCTGGGTCATATCTTTTATTACAAATAACATTTTGATTGAATTCAAATTTGTGATTGTAATCATCGCCATTGGAGCAGAAAATGAATTGATGTTCATTGTTTTTAGCAGTTAAGGTATTTGTTTCTTTGTTATAGTTGCATTCTAATTTTTGATCTGTTAAATCTAAAATTTCAGTAATACCTTCTAAAGTTCCAAGTGAACATCCACTAAGTTCTTGGTTGTCTAGATAACATCTAATAGAATCTGTGAAAGTAAATATACCGTCATTATTGGAGCATTCTATTGTTGTTGAAGATGTATTTGTGCAACTAAAACCACTTGTAAATATATTTGATAAACCGGTACTATCAATACATGTTATGGCTTCATTATTTGGATTGCTAAAAGACAAAATTGTATCGATTGGGTTATAAATGCATTTTATATTATCATTTGATTCGCTAGTTGATGAACTTTCGCTACCTGCAGATGAGCTGCTGGTTGATGAACTGCTAGTAGAAGAGCTGCTATCTGATGAACCACTAGATGATGAACTGCTTGTTGATGAAGAACTGCTATCTGATGAACTACTATCTGATGAACCACTAGCTGATGAACTGCTTGTTGATGAACTACTATCTGATGAACTACTATCTGATGAACTGCTTGTTGATGAACTACTAGCTGATGAACTGCTTGTTGATGAGGAGCTGCTGTCTAATGAAGAGCTGCTATCTGATGAACTGCTTGTTGATGAGCTACTATCTGTTGAACTGCTATCTGATGAACTGCTTGTTGATGAAGAGCTGCTATCTGTTGAACCACTAGCTGATGAACTGCTTGTTGATGAACTACTATCTGATGAACCGCTTGCTGATGAACTACTATCTGATGAACTGCTTGTTGATGAGGATGAACTGCTATCTGATGAACTGCTTGTTGATGAAGAGCTACTATCTGTTGAACCACTAGCTGATGAACTGCTTGTTGATGAACTACTATCTGATGAACTGCTTGTTGATGAACTACTATCTGATGAACCGCTTGCTGATGAACTACTATCTGATGAACTACTATCCGATGAACTGCTTGTTGATGAGGAGCTACTGTCTGATGAACCACTAGCTGATGAACTGCTTGTTGATGAGCTGCTATCTGATGAACCACTAGCTGATGAGGAGCTGCTGTCTGATGAACTGCTTGTTGATGAACCGCTTGCTGATGAACTGCTAGTTGATGAAGAACTGCTATCTGAAGAACTGCTAGTTGATGAGGAACTGCTGTCTGAAGAACTGCTATCTGAAGAACTGTTAGCTGATGAACTGCTAGTTGATGAAGAGCTGCTATCTGATGAACTGCTATCTGATGAACTGTTAGCTGATGAATTACTATCTGATGAACTGCTAGTTGATGAAGAACTACTATCTGATGATGAGCTGCCAGTTGATGAAGAGCTACTATCTGATGAATCACTAGCTGATGATGATCTGCTATCTGATGAACCTCTTGAAGAGTCCTCTGATGCGTCTGAAGATTCTTTCGAGTCTGAAGAGCTACCTGAAATTATACCTGTTGATATGCTGGTTGAAACACTTGTTGTTGTTGTTCCACCTGTGCCACCTGAGACACCTGTACCACTTGTAGTAGAACCACCTGCAGTAGAACCACCTGCAGTACTACCACCTGTAGTAGAACCACCTGCAGTACTGCCACCCGCAGTACCACCTGCAGAACCACCTGCAGTACTACTTGCAGCAGCAGCAGCAGCTGCTGCTGCTGCAGCTGCAGCTGCGTCACCCGGGCCACCTGGGCCACCTGAGCCACCTGAAGTAGTAGAGGTTCCATCACCGCCATCATCACCACCATCATCATCACCACCATCATCATCACCACTACCTTTGCTACTATTACTACTATCACTGCTATCACTTGAATCTTCATCTTCATAGGTATATTGAGACTCGGTATCCTTAGAATTGAATCTAAGGGTTAATTCTTTTGTACCAGATTCTTCTCTTGAAACTGAAGGTACAGTGCATGTTACGAGTTGACTTGATACAATACGAACACTATCACAACTTGAAGAACCAATACTAATTGATAATTCAGATTCCTCGCCTTCTAAACCTAGATTTTTACCATTAATTGAAATTGGAGTTTTAAGATTGTATTTACCACTTGATGGTGAAACTGATGATATTGATGGATCAGAGTATGAGAACGATGTATCTTCATTACTTTCTTGTCCATTTAATTTTACTTTAATTGGAGTATTTGATTTATAACCCTTCTTTGATAAAATAACAATTGTTTCATTTGTAGCTTTACCTACAGTTGTTGCACTTTCACCATTGAATAATACTGAGAGATCATCTTCGTTTTCACCTTTTTCGATAAAGTTACCACCTTTGATTGTGATTTCATCTCCACCATCAAATGTTGTAAAAGATGGTTTTGAGATACTATCAATGAATGGTTTACCATAATATTCAAAGGAAATATCGGTGTTTGAATCTTGGCCAGCAACCATTACTTTTACAATTTCTTTTCCAACTTTATTTGATTTTGGCAAATTGCATGTTAAATCTTTATTGTTAAATTCGACCTGTGTGCAATCATTGTCACCAATTTTAACGACTTGATTATCTTTACCGAAATCATAACCCTTAATTGTTATTTTGACAGTATCGTCACTATTGGATCTATATCTATTTGGATTAACAGATTCGATTGTTGGTGGATAATATGAGAAATGTTTATTTGGTTCAGTTTCTTGATTTTCTACCAAAATTTTAATTTCTAATTCTTTACCTTGACCTGATGGAACTCTACATTTAACTGCTGTTGAGTTGATCCATTCAATGATTAAACAATCGAAACCATCAACTTTAATGTTATTCTTTTCATTTTGATTACTGTTGTATTGCTCTGCCAATTCTTTTGGTACAAAGTTTTGACCTGAAATTTCGATTGTGGTGGTACCATTTGTTGAACCGTTATAACTATTCTGATCTAAAATTGGTTTATCATAAGAGAAATAAATAGTTTCGTTTGATTTTTGATTTCCAACTGTAATTGTAACAAGATAATCTTTACCAACACCTGGTGATGGTTTACATGAAACATGGGTAGAGTTGATCCATTTGGTTTCATCACATTTAGTATCGCCAATTTTAATAAAGTTTTCAGCTTCATTAATATTACCATTATTTTGTTCAATAAATTCAATTGGAATAAAGTTTTCTCCAGAAATTGTAATTTCCTTGGTACCATTTGTTGGGGCTGTGTAATTTACATTATTCAAAACTGGTTTATCATAAGAGAAATAAACTGTTTCATTTGTTATTTGACCACCAACCATAACTTGAACTAGTAAATTCTCACCAATACCTGGTTGTGGTTTGCATTCGATTGAAGTAGAGTTGATCCATTTGGTTTCATTGCAATAGTTTTCTCCAATTTTAATATAATTTAATGTTATATTTTCATTTTCATTATAATAGCTTGATAAATCCTTTGGAATGAAATTTGTACCATTAATTATAAATTGAACTGTACCGTTGGTTGGGGCTCTATAATAAACTTTATCTTCACTTTCTTTATCAGATGAAATATTAAGTGCTGGTGGATTATATGAGAATAAATATTCCTGGCTAACTAGAGATGAGTTTTGTTGACCAACAAAGACGACAATTGTATGATTTGCACCAATTCCTGGTGGGATTGTACAATTAAGTTGAGTTGAATTGAAAAACTCGATAACTGCGCATGTATAATTAGAGCCAATTGTAACATTTGATTCTTCTAACCAGGTAATATCTGAATTATCATAGTAAGGGCTTAAAGTTTCAAATGGTGGGAAGTTATAACCATCAATTGTAATATTTAAACCACCATCAGTGTCTGATTGATTTAATGACACACTTTCGATATATGGCTCAAAGTAAGAGTATAAATATGTTTTATTTGAAACTTGAGTGCCATCAATAATCTCGATATCAATTGTAAGATTTTTGCCAATAAAAGAGTCAAATGAGCAATAGAAAATATCGATAAGTTCATTATAGTGTTGATATCCTATTTTTTTTAAATGGGAACAAATATTTGATTGGTTTTCTTCATCTTCTGTGTCAAATTCATCTTCGCTACAGAAATATGAATCACAAGTAATTACACTATCTAAAATATAGATATCTGGTTGTTCATTTATATAAGAACCTAAATTTCTACCGACAATTACAAAATTATCTAAATAATCTGTAACACTTGTATTGATCTGTGGATGATATATCACTTTATCAATAGTTGGGACTCCATAGTTAAATTTAAACTCTTCATCGTTTGTTGAACCACCAACTTTAACCCTAACGATTGCATAGAGATAACCATGTGGTACGGTGACAATTATTTCTTTATTTGAAACCCATTCAACTGTTTGGCACTCTTCTTCTGAAAAATAGACTTTAGTTTTTCCATTATAAAAGTTATTACCATAGATAGTAACAACATCATTATAAAAACCACTTGATTTAGATAGACTGGTTATAACTGGTTCTGAAATTGAAAAGTCATTATCTACATCTTCACCAAATTTCATGATTAAATTATTTAAATAATAAACTTTTATAATATTTATTTTACCATAACTGCTGGCTTTAATTGAAAAAGAATCAACTCCATTAATGCTTTTTTGGTCAAAGATTGTGTGAGTTAAATCTATTTCACCATTTGTAACTTGAATACCACTAGTTAGCTGAATACCGAATGTAAAGAAATTTTCACCAATGATTTGAATAGTTGAGTCAATCTCGACCGATAAATCGTTATTATTTGGATAGATAATTTGATTAACTTTGGCAACTGGGTAATTAAAGAAAAATTCTTTTTTAAATGAGTATTGATTCTCGTAATAATCCTTGGTATATTGATTATAAATTGTAATTGGAGCCAATGAGAAATCTGGTGTTGTGCTTAATGGTAATGAGCATGTTAATGTTTGGATATTGGTAGTTGGATCAGTTACAATACCATTGTAGTTAACATCACATTGAGTAGATTTGACTTTAATTAATGTTGTTTGATCAAATAATCTACCTTGGACTGTGATTGAATATTGACCATTAGCTGTGGTTGTAGTTGGGTTGGTGACTTGATCTACGATTGGACCTACTGGACATGATGTTAAAATTTTACCATTCTTAAAGTCTTGATATGATGATTCGATAAAACTACAGATTCTATTATTAATGAAAACAATTGATAAACCTATATTGGTTTCTGTTGATTTTGGAGATGAAAAATAATAAGTTGAATAACCTTTGGAATATTTAATAATGTTTCCCTCAATTACTGGAGAAGCAACTACCAATTTGAAGATATCAGCACTAACATTGATAATATCATACAAGGAAAAGGTTCTTCTATTTGTATTATATGTGCATGTATTGACATCATCTAAAATATTTAAAGATTGTGTATTAAAGTATTTGCCTAATAGTTGAATGGTTTGTTTTGATGAATCACCATTTAAATATTTATATAATTGACCTGAAATATGGTTTTTTGGTGTTGGATCTTTAACCCATCTATTTAAAATAAATGACTCAATGGCTTCGAATGATGAGTAACTATTGAATTGGTTTAAACAACTTCCCATTAAAATTAAAGAACTCTTTAAATCAGTTTTACCATTTTTCTTAATGTCTTCTAATTCGTCTTTGGTTAATTGATCACAAACATGATCACATTGATCGTAATATGAAAAATAATTATTTAAAGCTGATTTTAAACCACCAATATAGACTTCAATTGATAACCCAATACCTGAACCTGCTGGAACTTTACATTTAATAGTCTTTGAATCTACCCAAATGGTTTCTTTACATAAATTATCGCCAATTTTAACAGTACTAGGTCCGAAATACATACCAACATTACTATTAGTTTCTGGATCAATTCCAGCTGGGACGAAATTTTGGCCATTGATGGTAATAAAATCATTTTCATATGAAATATATGGTGTTGGTGTAATATATGGACTATCATATGAGAAAAATTGGAAATATTGGCCTCCTGGATAAGCAAAATCTGATCTGAATCCACCAACTGTAGCCGAAACTGGGATTGTACCAATACCTTTTGGGACCATGGCTTTAGCATGGGTAGAGTTATACCATGTTATTGATTTTGAAATAACTTCGTTAAATTTAAAATTATTTGAGTTATCTGGTGGTATTTGATTGACTTGACTTGATAATGATGATGGAACTAAGTTATTACCAATGAAAAATAATTCACCACCATCTGTCGAACCAAGACTTCTTGTTGTTACTGATGGCAAACCGTACATTACAGAATAACCACCTTGCTCAGGAGACTGGCCACCTACTCTAAATGTAACTGAACCCATTCCAATACCTGGTGGTATTAAAACCTTGAAATCACTAGAACTTGTCCATTCTACATTTGAAATTTCAATACCACTAAAGTAAACATTAGTCTCTGGCCAAACTGTTGGTGGTGTTAAACCTTTATCAATAATTTCTTTAGTTGGAGGGAAATTAAAACCACTAATGTGCATATATCCACCATCGGTTCCCATAAAATATTCGCTTAATTGGTAAAAGTATGGTCTACTATAACTATAGCTGATAACATCACCAGTTTCATCAAATTTGATTGTGCCTTTACCAACACCCAAAGATTTTTTAATACAAACAAAGATTTTGTATATATTTGAATTGAAATAATTTTCATTTGATACATATGCTTGTTGACTGAGACATGGACGATTGGTTACATATTGACCTTCTGGTAATCCTTCGATAATTGATGTTGGTACTTTATTACAACTACTTTCAAATTCGCAGTGAATTAATTCATTATTCTCCATGATGTATGGTTTAATAACTGAGTCAAAACCAGAACCAATAAAATAGAATCTATTAACTTCTGCTGTTTGGAATTCGTTGATAATAATTTTCTCTGATTTTCTCTCTAAGAATGTGAATTCGAATTTTTTTGTTTGTGCACCACCAAATGTTTCGAGATAAACAAAACCACTACCTAAACCTCTTGGGATAATAACAATAATAACATCATCGGATCTGTTAATTATGGTACCATATGAAATTCCACTTTGGCTTGAAAAGACTATACTATATGAGTCTGAAAGAAAACGATAACCAAGAATTTTAAGGTCTCCACCTGTATAACCGCTTGAGGAAGTTATACCTGTTACTATTGGTAAGAAATAAAATGGACACTTTTCAAAAAATTTGGTAGATTCAGCAATGGCTCTTGTGGTTTCTTCAAAATAACAAAGTTTACCTTGATATTCAATAATTGCAAGACCGTATGCTTGAGAACCAAATTGTTTATAATACACATTGGTGAATGGATCATCAGTTCCTTTGAGTAAATTTGATTGAGATGATGTAATTAGTTTAAGATCACTGGTAACATAAAACATATCTGATAATCTAATAGAACCTTTGTTCTTACCAGTTGGACTGTATGCACAAGCATTTGATGGATTTAATGCAGCATAATATGAAAGAATATAATTTGCAGGTGGCAAAGATGTGAAAAGGTTTTTATAAACTTGTCCACTTGTGTAATCACCTTCGATATTGTTTCCAACCCATCTATCTAATAAATCTCTAATATTATATACCATAAATTCAACTTGGCAAATACCAAGACTTTGAAGTACGTTAACTATATCATTGAGGTCGGTAAGTTTTTTTTTTTCACATGTTAATACGCAAGGGTCTACATAAGGATTGGAAATGAAGTCATTTGAGAGTAATTTGGGACATGCATATTTCGATTTGGCCTTAACTGATACATAATTTTTATAAACCTTGGAAGTTTCTAGAGCATAATCTATAGTTGAGTCACATTGTAAATCAATTGTAAAAGAAGGATTCTTATAACCATAAATATCATCTGTATTTGGTGGAGGATCAAAAGCACTTGATACAAGACCATAATAACTAATTTGTAAACCATTTGATAATTTGGTAATAATTTGACTTTTTGTAATATCGGCAATAGGTGTTATTGCACCCGTGTTTGAAACAATACATGATTGTGATGTTTGGAAACCTTTTCCACATCCCCCAAAAACACCATTACCAATAGTATAATAAATCTTATCGTTATTTTGAGGATTAATAAATGAAAAAGGCTCTGCCTTAACAGAGTTTTGAAGTGGGGAAATGTCAATATGGTTACCATTTGTTTCTTCAAACAATCTATATGAAGGACATGCAAATTTTGTATAGATATATAAAATATAATCATTTGATGATGGATTTGTCATTTTTAAAACAGTATAAGAAGTTTTTGGGTCACACATAAGTACTACACGGAGTACAGTACCAAAAGTTACTAGAACCATTCTTTCTAAACTATCTGAAAAAACTGCAGGGGTAATAGATGGCTTATTAGCAATAGAAGTAACTTGAACAGAAGTACCAGATTTTGAAACGATGGCAGCATAAAGGGTAGTTGAAGTTGAAGCTCTAACTTTACAATAGTCACATGGGTTAAAAATATTAAAGAAAACGTCATATTCATTTCCAGATACAGAAACTGAAGCTGAAAATGGATTACTTGAAGATGGTAATACCATTGGTTTGAGATTATAAATTAGACCATCCAAAATATACATTGAGTTAATTGGGCATGCATATTTGGTTTTAATATGGAGTTTAATATAACAAGCATTAGTATTTTTAACCGTTACTAAAGAATATTCTTGGGATGCATCGCATGCAAATTCAATTTCAAACTTTCTAACACCATTATTAACACTACATTCGGATTCGACAACATTTGAATAATATGCAATTGTTACACCATTTTCAATGAATGAATAATCTGATGATGATAAATGGCCTTGGAGTTTAGCAGTTCCTGATTTAAACACACATGATTGATACCATTCATTTTTTGCAATATTATTACAAGAAGAGGTTGAACCAAATAAATTGTAATAGTATACATCCTGTCCACTTGTATATGTATATGGTATTCCGGTTGAGGATCTAAAAAATTAAAAAAACTATTAGTATAAAAATTCATCTTGGCTAATTATATGATTTTAAAAAATTTAATTACCTTCTTAAAGCACTAAGGTCATAATATTTGATTCTTGATGTATCATAAAATTTACCATTTAAATGATTTTCTAAATTTGGATTATTTGAGGCTGGACCACCACCTAAAATATAAGGTACTGGAGGAATAACTGCAGGTAATATTGGTGCTGAAGTTAATGGACATGCATATTTTGAATTTGCTTGTAAATTGTATAAACATGCCCAGGTACCTGTGGTTTCAACTGCAGTTTGTAGAGAATATTCAGTAGATGAATCACATCTTAAATCAAGATTTAAAACTCTTTGAATTTTTCCTTGGCAAGGTTTTCCAGCATCTGGGGCAGAAACATATGAAACAACAATACCATTACTAGAAGCAATCGATGTTTGATTACTAATACTTCCAACATGATAAAGAACACCATCAATAAGTTGACATGCTTGATAATCACGGTCTGATGAACCATAGGATTGACAAAATAGGTTTGTTGTACTAACAGCATAACGGAGTGTATATGAAACTCCATTTGCGGACATAGAAACGCTTCTATCGTTTACTCTAATAAAATTAAACTTTTTTATTAATATTTTCTTTAAAAAATTAATCGAAAAGATATATATACTTACTTTGTTAATTGAGTTAAATCGAAATAATTTGATTTTGAGGTATCATAATAAACACTGGATGAACAAGCATATTTAGTTTCAACAGTAATTGTATAGATACATAAAACACTAGACTCCACAGCAGATAAAATTCTAAAATGTATATTTTGATTGCAAAGTAATACTATTGATAACTTTCTAAGACATTCACCAGCGACGGGTGCTGATTTATATTCAAGCGTAATTCTATTATAATCAAGAGTTACCTTTTGACCTTGAGAAGCTGAGGCAATTTGATTAGTATTCCCAGCTGAATGTGAATATTGACATGCATAATGAATACCTGTGCTAACACCCATTAAATCGTGACACTGTTTAACTTTATTACCAATATTAAATAAAATATTATATGTTTTTGAATTTGTAACATGTTTAATGTTATAGAAACTTGTTTGGGGTCTTTAAAATAAAGAATAAATAATAATATTAATAAACAAATTTATAATATATATATCTATTTTTATACAACTTACAATTGAATTGGTGACAAATCGTAAAACTGAGATTTATCAAAGAGATATGAAGTTGGGCAAGCATATTTAGTATAAATTTTGATATTATTATAACAGTTGGAAGTACTTGAAGTTTCTAATTGGTCAATAAAGTAATGTTTGAATGGATCACAATAGAGATTAAATGATGTATAGAAACGGCTATTAGAGGCAGTGCATTGAGTTGAATAAGATTGAGGAGATGAGATTTTAATAGTAATAATTTGGTTAACTGTGTCAAAAGTGATAGTTTTAGCTTCTGTAACTGAGCCAGTATTTAAAACTCCTTTATCCAAATCGTATCTTAAATTATCATCCATAGTTTTTGTTTTATCTTTAACGGTTAAGAGACAAGCTTGATATTTATTTGAAGTAACCCCGCTTAATGATGTGCATCTGTCTGCATTGTCGAATAAATTAAACAAAACATCTTTACTATAATCAGTACTTTGATATAAATTTGTGGATGCTCTATATTGGTTAAAATGTAAATAAAATATTAATATTTTAATAAATATAAATGAATAAATAACTACTGCTACTTACAAAGCTCTTAAATCGTATAAAGCACCATTATTAAATAATACACCTTTCTTTTTACAAGCATGCTTTGATTTGATTATATGAGTACATTTATTACTTGTGGCTACATATAAGTAATCATTCAATTGGTCACACTCGAATTGATACACAAATCCATTGGAACCACAAATACTTGATTCATATTTGATTTTGAAGTAATTGTCAAAGAATGTGGCTGTGTGAACTTTATTTAAATCTGTATAAGTTGTGTAGCTTAAACCATTTGTTGCATCTAGTAAGCAAGCAAGTTCATTTGCAACCATTGTACATTGTGGCGATCTTTTACAAAAATTAAAATTAAACTGGGTTGCCCATACACCGGTGGTGGGATTGAAAGTTTTGATTTCGTATCCTTCGGCTTTTGATAACGGATTTAAATCGTAATATTCATTTTTTTCAAAGTTATAATATATACATGTTGATAAAGTACCATTTGTTGACCATGTTGTTAAGTCCAACGTTGATCCTGATTCAACTGTAGATATAAAACTACTTTGAATAATAAATATTAGTAAAAATAAAAATATTATTATTTTATTTTTTTTCATTTTTTTATTTTTAAAAAAAATAATAATAATAATATAATTTTTTGGTTAATAAATTATAACTAATATATTTTTTGATTAAAAAAAAAAAAAAAGAAAATATTTAGTTTTATAAAAAAAAAAAAAAAAAAAAGATTAAAAAAATTATATAAAATCAAAAAGATTTAACTAATGGCAATTACATTTTGAAAAACCGAAAGACAGTCACAAATTTTAAAGTTAAAAAAGTGCAAATTCAAAGAACAAACATACAAAAAAAACAAAAAAAAAAAAAAAAAGCTGTATAATGAAAACGAACGAGCAAATTGTAAATGATGTGATTTTTTAATAAAAAAAAAAATAAATAAAAAAAAATAAATAAAATAAAAAACGATTGAATTTTTTAAAATTGATGAACACAAACTGTGTTAAAAAAACTGTGATATTTTGTTAAAAATCATTTTAAAAAAAAAAAACGAAAATATTTTTTTTATTTTATTTTTATATTTTTTCTTCGTATTTTTACAAAAAAAGTTGGTTTTTTGTGTTGTGGGTGATACTAAAAATAAACTGGATCATGTATATTGAGAACGATTATAATAATAAAAGTAAGTTAACTTTTTTTATTTGACAATTATTTTTATATTTTTGGTGAAAAGAAAAATTACTTTTTTAAAAATTAAATAAATCATAATAAAATATCCATAAATGAGCACAAAATAAATAAAGTGAATAGCATTCTATAATTGTTTTATCTCTAATTTACTACCCAACTTCTTTTTGTTTCTGCTCGTAACATAATTTTTAAAATTTTTATTTTATTGGGTTTGGTAGTTACATTCTGACTTAAATTAATAATAGTAGTCGACACTCCTTATCGTTATTCCTTTCTTTATTATACAAATAACTTTGAATTTTTAATTGAAATAATCTTCTATTATTGAAAATTAAACCTAAATCTAAATTATTTAATTTTTTTTTATTATTAAAAAAACTATAAATTAAACTTGAAATATATTTATTTCTAAATACTTTTAAATATAAAGTATCCATATTTGTTATTATTATTAATTTTTATTACTATTATTATTATTTATTAATTATTTTCTAAAAAAAAAAAAAAAAAAATTTAATTTTTAATAAAAATTTATTTTCTATTTTTTGCTTTATTTCTTTATTCTTTATTCTCACTTATATTTAACATCATATTTATTATTAATTTATTATGGACAATGAAAATTAAAAAAAAATAAAAAATAAAATTTTTTTTTTTTTGTTTCTTTTAAAATTTTTTCATTAAACATTTATATCACTAGTTAAATTAGAAAAGGACATTAAAACAATATACATCCATTTTGGGATTGAAAGACAAACACCAATTAGATTTATCAAATATAATGTATCTAATATAACTTACCAACATGAATTAGTTGAAGATAGCTCAAATTGAATAAAAGGTGATAGGGTATACTATGATGAAAACTGCTACGATTTCTTGGTGTACTGCCTCTCTGAAAATTTTGTTATATACAACAAAGGTACATTTAATAAAAAAGTAGATGGTTTCCTGCCTCAACTGATACCATAATGGTAAGTTATTAACATATATAATATTAAATATAAAATTAAAATTTATAATATTTTTATATTTCACTAATTTAAATTTTTTTTTTTTTCTATTTTCTTTTACCAAACATAGAATGCTATCCAATGGCCTAATGTAAATCCCAAAAAATGCTTTATTCCAGATAAACCGGATATGAGTGATCAATCACAAACCATGTCAATGAACGATGATGATTAATCAAAATAAATAAAATATTGCACATCCATTTGTTTTTTAAGTTATTTATTTTTTTAATTTTTTATTTTTTCATAACTTATATTCTTTTTAAACCCTATATCCAGCTCACTGATCATATATATAATTTAAAAAAATATTTTAATAAAAAAAAAAAGAAAAAAAACCCCCAACCACACTTTTTAGATTTTTAATAAATTATTTTTTATAAATTTTTTTAGTAATTTAATTTTGGTTAATTTTTATTTGTAATTCATCGAAACAGTAAAGCTTAAATACCTTTTACTGTTTAAATATAAACATTTATTTTAAATATATATTATTGTTATTTATTATAATGAAGAAAAAATAAAAAGTTAAAATTTTTTTTTTTTGAAAAAAAAAAAAAACAAAAAAAAACAAAAAAGAATATACAATTATTAATACATAATAGTTATTAGTGGTATAAATAGTTAGTTTTTTATTTTATAAAAGTTTTTTTAAACATTTATTTAAAAAAAAAAAAAAGGGAAATATAAAAATAAAAAAATAAAAATAAAAATAAAAAATAAAAAAAAAAATTAAAGTTATGTAAAAAAAAACATTTAAAAAGGAATTGTTTAACAGTTAAAATAATGTTATTTAATTAAAAGATGTTTTAATGAAATAAAAAGAATAGTTTGTAGAAATAAAAAAAAAAAAACAGTGTGAATTTTGTGATTGATTTAATATATATTTTATTAAATAAAAATTGGGGCTCAAAGTGTGTTCATTTTTTTTGCGAAATTTTTTTGGAAGATTCTGTTTTTATATTTTGAACGTAATACGCCCGAAACACCAGCTATTAATGCAACACCACCTGCAGCACAAACCGAAGCAACAACAGGTACTTTCCATTTATTTTCGCATTTATTATCTGAAGAAGTTCTAATTATTGAATTGAATGATGGATCTAAAACAACTCTTTGTGAAAAAAATGGTGTGTTAATTGAGGTTAATCTATTATAGTATTCGTCATCTAATGGTCCTTGATCTGCATCGACGGATGATTCATCGTTATTGCCACTGGTATTGAGTAAAAGGTAAAGTGGATCGTCAATTGGTAATACCGAAACTTCAGATTTTCTTACAGTGTCATCAACAAACATACGTCTAGAAAATTTGGCATCCATAACTGATCCACCAGAAACTAATTGGAACCAGCTTACAGATTCATTGGTACTGCCTCCAGAGTTACTTGAAGCTTGATAAACATTGCAACCATCATCGTAATATTTCTTTGTTTTTGAATTATAAATAACTTGAAGAGTGTTTAAAGGTGATTCGAATTGCCAGTTTGAAATGGTAATTACATATTTAATTGAATTTGAAGGAATTGAAACAATATCACCTGCAAAATCGTATTCGTATGCATCTTTGTAGTAGGTGACATCTAATTCGATTGTGGCTGTATCGTTTTCAAAAGTACCTTTATAGTATGAATCAGTGCTGTTGCTTCTAGTTTTATTGTCCCATTGAACATTAGACATTGAAAGAGTTTTAACTGGACTAGACGAAATGTCTAATTCTCTAAGGTAAACTATAGAAACTGTAAAATTAAGTGTACCGCCACTGATAATTGAATTGCCGTTGCCGTCTACAATTGGTGGTGGTAATGGTTTTTGCTTTGGAATTGAACAGTCAATACCATCAAAGCCTTCTTTACAGGCACAGTTACCATTAATTGGGTTACAAACACCTTGATCGGAGGAACAGTTATTTGGGCACTTTAATGGTTCGTAATAATAGAATACTTGATTTTTACCAAGCATGTTATTAGATAAAATTGAAATTGTTAAAGAGGTTTGATCTTGGTTTGGTGGGACACTTGCGTCGTAAAAACATCTAATATGATTGTTATCTATTGCTACCGGATTAGAACATGAAACATTTGAAACATAAACTTCTAAACTATTTGATAAAAAGCTTTCTGCTGTGATTGTGATATTTCCTGGTGCATTGTAAAAAAGTGATGTTGATTTAATAACTTTAGGCTCTTGGAACGAAAAGGTTATATTATTTGATGAGTATGGTGTTGAGTTATCGATTTTAATCAATAATAATTTAGCGTTTCCATAACCATTGAAACCTTTGCATGAGGCTGATTCACCGTTGATATAAGTGCATTCTAATATTGAAAGGGTGTTTGGAGCAGAGTCTAAAACATAGCTAAATGAAAGATCAACTTGACTGTTGGTTTGATAGTTTTTGTTTGAGAAATAAAGACCATTAATTGTTACAACTGAAGATCCATCAAGATATGGTTTAAATGATAATGACTTAATAACTGGGGTGAAGAATATTGGGAGAATATTAGATAGTTGACCTGCAACATTTAAAGATATTTGTCCATTTGAGGTTTTGCCATCGACAGTGATTACTAATGATTTACGATCTTGAGAAATAGATGGTGCAGTTTCTAAGTCATTTAAAATAACTCTATTTAATGATACTTGGTCAATGCTAAACTGTTGAGCTTGGATTGAAAATTGATTTTCATTAATTTGAGTAAATCCTGTAATAAAAGGTGGGGCAAATGAATATTGAACTTGATTTGAGATTCTACTATTTGATTGTGCAACAAAATAATGGTTTTTACCATATCCACTAATGCTTTTAGCGATAATTGTTGTTCCGTCGATTTGAGAAATAGATAGTTGATGGATACCATCTGATAAAAGTTTGAAATTGTTATTCGAATTGGTGATTGGGTCTACAGTTTCGAAAAATCTACCGGAAATCGTAATAGTTTCACCACCAGCAGTATCTAATATTGGGGTGCTAAGTGAGATAATATAAGGTTTGAAATAAAATGTAAAACTGTTTGACTTGGTAAGTTTATTGGAAACCTCTATTTTACCACTAAGAATATAAAGAGGGATAGTGCTACAGACAATCTCGGTATCACTATTAATATTACAGTTTGGTGTAAGTTCTTGGGTAGAGATAAATATAGTGGTGGTGCTGATATCGTATGAGAAACCAGTACCAATAATAGTAATGGTATCATCAATTTGATTTACATCTGTAACTTGGAGTGGTTCCAAATATTTAAATGCTTGGTTTTGACCAATACTTCCATTAACATTTACTATTACATTAAAATATGGGTCAGTTGGTAATGGTTTTGGTAAAGTTGATGCAAATTGACATGTAATTTCTGTTATTGATTTAACAACAGGATTTGTACATTCTAAATCATTAT